TCTCCTTTGCCCTTAGAAGTCAGTATTGTGCCTATCACATCCCAGGTGCTCAGTCACCACTGAACTAGAGTCATACTACCTTCTGGCAAAGTCTCTTAACCGTCCATATCCAGCTGATATTAATACCCCTGAAGTTTACACTGTCATTCTTCCTTCCAGGCTCAAGTAAAGCAGCCCCTTTATCCTGTCTTAGGTCCTCTCTCCCTACCTGTCCTTACTTGTTTCGGACAACAACCTTTTTTGTTTTCTAATTTATTTCTCACATTTTCTTCCCTTCTCATAGCTTTCCTCTCACTTTCTCCTCCAGTTTGTCAGACTCTGCTTTTAAAACATGCAAGCATGTGCCTTTAGGGGGAATAAAAGACAATTTTAATTTACCTTGCTTCTTCTTTACAAATATATTGTGGCTTCTTCTTACAGTCCCAATCCAAAACGCTATACCCACCCATCAGCATTGAACTCCTCGTTGTAAAAGTAGGATGGGGCAAAGAGAGAACGCATGCCCCTCCCAACTGCTCGAACAAGTAAAGGCGTTGTTACAGTTATCTTTTGCTACCTTAACACAATAATTATTTTATTATATCTCACAATTTTATGGATCAGGAATTTAGACAGGGCTCAACTAGGCAATTCTTCTGTTTTACTAACGTCGTTGGAGATTACTTGGTGGTATTCAGCTGGCAGGTGGGCTTATCTGGAAGGTCCAAGATAACTGTACTCTGGTGCCTGGTGCCTTGGTAGAGAGGGATGACGGTGTGGAGCCTCTCCAGCATGACAGTCTCAGAGAAGTTCGCTTTCTCATATGCTGGCCCAGGGCTCCAAGAGCAAATGTTGCAGTGAGTAAAGCAGAAGATGCAAGGACTTTTATAATCTATCCTCAGAAGCCACATAGGCATCAGTCCTGTATTATTCTATTAACCAAAGCATATGCCAGGAGAAGACACATGGACCCTCACCTTTTGATGGGAGGAATGTGATGGATTTGCAATTATGTTTTAAAACCACTATAGATAGAGCTACTGAGAAAGATTCATGGGCAGCTTTGGGGTGAGGGTCGGGAATTAACCTGTTGGTAGCAGAGGTGCACTAGAGTCAGCAAGGAACATGGTCTCCTCTTGTGCATTTTAGTCATGCTACACCAGCCTTCTTAACCACTGCTTAGCCATCAGCCTCACAACCTAACAGCTCTATCACAGTCGTACTCTCTAAGATAACCAACAATGTTAGCGTCAAATCCGGTAGGTTTTTCTTTGTTTTTGTTCATTGACATTTTTTTCTAAACTTGACACTGGTCAAGACTCAAATTTTCTTTAATCATATTCTTAAATACCAGTTTTATCACTGGATATGTTACTGTTTCTTGTTCTCACTCTGCCTTTGACATAGCCATTGTTTCCAGACTATAACTCTGGGTCTGGGTCCCCCTATAGTTTCGTCCCTGAACCCTTTTCCTACTCCCATTGGACTGAGTCCCATGTAAAGCATGTCTCTTTCATCACATTCAAATCATCACTACCAAATACCTCCCAGCTCTGGTTTCTTGCTCTCTTAGCATGGTAGATGCAGCTTCCTAAGCTCTCCATATAGATAGTAACAGCATTCTCTCCAAATAATTATAAGACTTTAAAATTTGGTTTAATCTCCTTACCCCTGAAACCACCCCCTTTACCAACTGCCTCATGACAATCAGTTGGTACCATTACTGAGCTTGCTACACATGTTTTCAAAATAAAGTCATCTTTGACTCCACATCCAACCATTCATAAAGCTGTATTGTCTATCAGATTAAATGTGACATTTATGTGAGAGCACTTCATAGTCTGTAAAGCACGACACAGGTGACGACATGAATCCACACTCATAACAGATTTGCAGGCTCTGCTCCTCATTTGGCTTCTACAGCCTCATCTTTCATCAACTTTTTGCCCCACCTCTCTCTTTTTTCCCCATCACCCAATTTTCCAGTCAGTCAGGCCAACAGAATGCATTTTATATACGTGCCCTGCTTTCCCCAACATCTTTGCCTGTATGTATGCCACTTACTTGCCTCAGCTGATCTTTATTTCAACAAATGTTTGCAGAAGAGAAACCTCACTGGCTCCTTCTCCTTTCTATTTCTTTCGGAGGCCACCATACAGTCAACATTGCCTTTTTTTTTTTTTAACTTTAGGTTCTGGGGTACACATGCAGGTCATACAGGGTTGTTGCATAGGTGCATACATAACCAGGTGGTTTGCTGCCTCTATTCCCCCTTCATCTATATCTGGCATTTATCCCTGCGTTAATCCTCCCCACCCTTCCCCCTAGCCCCACTGTTCCTCACCGAGCCCCCCCTCCCACTACCCCCAGTGTGTGATGCTCCTCTCCCTGAGTCCACATGTTCTCATTGTTCAACACCTGCCTATGAGTGATAACATGAGGTGTTTGGTTTTCTGTTCTTTTGTCAGTTTGCTGAGAATGATGGTTTCCAGATTCATCCAAGTCCCTACAAAGGACAAGGACGCATCATTTTTTATGGCTACATAGTATTCCATGGTGTATATGTGCCACAATGTCTCTGTCCAGTCTATCATTGATGAGCATTTGGGTTGGTTCCATGTCTTTGCTATTGTACACAGGGCTGCAATGAACATACGTGTGCATGTGTCTTTATAGTAGAACGATTTATAGTCCTTTGGGTATATACCCAGTAATGGGATTGCTGGGTCAAATGGAATTTCTATTTCTAGATCCTTGAGAAATCACCACACTGTCTTCCACAATGGTTGAACTAATTTACACTCCCACCAACAGTGTAAGAGTGTTCCTACTTCTCCACATCTTCTCCAGCATCTGTTGTCTCCAGATTTTTTAATGATTGCCATTCTAACTGGCGTGAGATGATACCTCAATGTGATTTTGATTTGCATTTCTCTAATGACCAGTGATGATGAACATTTTTTTCATATGTTTGTTGGCCTCATATATGTCTTCTTTTGAAAGTGTCTGTTCATATCCTTCACCCACTTTTGAATGATAAGCAACTTCAGCAAAGTCTCAGGATACAAAATCAATATGCAGAAATCACAAGCATTCCTATATACCAATAACAGACAAACAAAGAGCCAAATCAAGAGTGAACTCCCATTAATAATTGCTACAAAGAGAGTAAAATACCTAGGAATACAACTAACAAAGGATGTAAAGGACCTCTTCAAGGAGAACTACAAATCACTGCTCAACAAAATAAGAGAGGACACAAACAGATGGAAAAACATTCTATGCTCATGGTTAGGAAGAATTAATATCATGAAAATGGCCATACTGCCCAAAGTAATTTATAGATTCAATGCTATCCCCATCAAACTACCAATGACTTTCTTCACAGAACTGGAAAAAAAAACACTTTAAACTTCATATGGAACCACAAGAGAGCCCACATAGCCAAGACAATCCTAAGCAAAAAAAAAAAAAAAAAAAAAAAACAAAGCCAGAGGTACACACTGCCAGACTTCAAACTATACTACAAGGCAACAGTAATCAAAACAGCATGGTACTGGTACCAAAACAGAGACATAGACCAATGGAACAGAACAAAGGCCTCCAAAGCAACACCACACATCTACAACCACCTGATCTTGGACAAACCTGACAGAAACAAGCAATAGGGAAAGGACTCCATGTTTAATAAATGGTGTTGAGAAAACTGGCAATGTTGCCTTTTTCAGGGAAGCTCCACAAGCCTGACCTCCCGTGGAAGTGCCTTAAGACTGGCTTCTTGCATAGTACACAACCTTTACTTATAGACAATTTGGAGATGATTCTTTATCATGTCTTATTTCCCCTGCTCTTGGAGGACATGACTCTGATTTCCACTGACTCTTTTTGGGGGTTTAAGTCAGGGCTGAGTACCAGAGGCCGTAGATAGCTGGATGTGGATTTTGGTAATATCAAGTGGATCGTTGGCTTATCTAAGACGTTCTGGGAGCTGGGACCTGACCTTGTCTATTTCCCTCTTTCTCCTGTTTCCTATGGTTTCCCACTGTTTTTTAAAAGTTTTTTTTTTTTTTAAGTTTTCAAAAAAAATAAACATTGAAAATAAATATCTGCACAAAGATTGAACTAGGTAAGGCCACACAACCCACACATATAATATCACTATAGGTAAGTTAGGAAGATTTCAGGCCTGGGCTAGGTCTGGAACCACATTTTACACTGCTGGAAATAAAAGCTGGAGCACGGGTGACTTTCCCAGGTTCACAGAGTTGGTGAACTGGAGAGCTGCCCCTGGAGCGAAGCAACCTGCCCCGTCCTTTTATCGCACCCACTAAGGAATGCAATTAAAAGGAGCAAGTGGTATCTCATGGTGTATAGTGCTTCAGCAATGTACTATTTGCTTTCTAGTGTGTCTATTGTCTCCTTTGACATCTTCTCTCAAAAAGTGATGAAACGCTTTCTTTGCAAAGTTCAGAGCGTTCTTGGTGCCTGTGTGAGATTCTTCCAAGTCTGAACTGCGTACTGGGAAGAAAGGGAATCCGGAGGAAGCAGGATGATGAGAAGTTTAAAGGACAGAAAAAGGAAGCAGAGAAGGCTGCAAGGTGCCTGCAAGGTGTCTGGGGAGTGGGAGGAATGAGAGCGTGCCCCGCTCTTACTTCTAGGAGAGCTCCAACAGAGCGGGACCTTTTACCAGGGTCTCTGATATCATTTTGGTTTCCGAAAGCCCCCCAGCTGAGGGTGCGCAGCCAAAGGGTGACAGGTGAGGCGTGTGCGGGGGCGGGGTGCTGACCGCTGCGGGGCGCCCTCCCTCCGACGCGCTGAGTGCGGGGCGCACACAGCCCAGAGCTTTTGGGGAGCGACGCGAGGTTCCAGTGGTGCGGGGTGAGGATGGGGGTGGGAGGAACCCTGTGCTTCCCGGACACGCCCCTGCCAAGTCCCACGCCCGGGTCTTCTGAGACCTCGCGCGGCCCAGCCCGGGAGCTGCCCGGCTATATAGGTCCCGGCGGAACACCTGCGCGCAGAGGGTCCTGCTGGCGCGAGGGTGGGGAAGGGGAGACGCAGGGACTTGGCCCCCACTGCCGCGCGCACTCCGCCTGCAGCCGCTGCCCCGTGGCGGGTTCAAAAAACAGAAAGCGCGTTTGCTGCCCGGCGGACAGGCGTAAAGAGCAAGGGAGAGAAACCCTCCACCTTCAGGCCTGGAGCCCTTTTCCTCTGCACCTCCAGTGTCTGAGTGAAGATGGGGGCCCTGACAGCCTCGGACGTGCACCCGACCCTGGGGGTCCAGCTCTTCTCCGCTGGAGTGGCGGCCTGCTTGGCGGACGTGATCACCTTCCCGCTGGACACGGCCAAAGTCCGGCTCCAGGTAGCCAGCCAGAGGGGCATGGCGAGGGGTCTCAGGGCACAGTGGGGACGTCTGTGGAGCGCATTCCATTTATTCTCTGCTTTGGTGTAACCATTGTTTCTAGGTGGGGCAGGTGGCTTTCTAAAGCAGTCTGGCCTTGTCCCGGGGCTGGTGCTTTGTGATGGGAAACTGGAACTTTTTCTGGGATTAGTTGAAGAATCAAGGACCATAGAGGATGAGCTGACCATGACTACTACCAAATTCTCCCAAGAGTTGGGGTGCACTTAGTATTGGAAGAGCTGAGAATATTGGCCTCTCCTGAGTTTACTAGTCAAGTGCTTTTTCCTTTCTTTGATTCTTCAGGGATTCTGTCCCCTCCTACTGCCCTAGAGGTTCTAGAGAGTTTATGGGGAGAAGAATGTTCAAAATGTGCTTTGTAGCCAGCCTCCCCACATCTGCGCGCGCGTACACACACACACACACACACACACACACACACACGCGCCCCGTAAGGGGAGGTGGATGGAAGGGGGGGGTGTTGCTGAGAAAAGAAATGGAGAATAGGAACAAGGCGGGGGTAGGGGGGATTCTTGGCTTAAGAGTGAACTCAATGCTCACTCCCTTCTGATCTGCACCTTTCTTATTTCCAGGTCCAAGGCGAATGCCCGACATCCAGTGGTATTAGGTATAAAGGTGTCCTGGGAACAATCACCACTCTGGTAAAAACAGAAGGGCGGGTGAAACTCTACAGCGGGCTGCCTGCCGGCCTTCAGAGACAAGTCAGCTCCGCCTCTCTCAGGATTGGCCTCTATGACACGGTCCAGGAGTACCTCACCTCAGGAAAAGAAAGTAAGCCTAAGCCGTGAGCATTCCTGGAAGGGGCAGAAAAGCCTTGGGCTCTCTGCTCTGTTCAAAAAAAAAAAAAAAAAAATGTAACACACGGAGGAGTGGTTTTCAGAACAAATTGGCGAGAAAACATCCATATTTGAACTCTCTCCCTTCCCCAAATAGTAGCTCATTGTTCATAGAAAGAAAAAATTATGCAAAATCGATTTTTAGATGCAGATTTACACTTGTAAAAGTTACCCAGTCATGGAAGTTTTGTTCCTAATTTGGATCTCCATCTGGAGAATTTGGATGGGCTACAGAATAATGTTTAACTTAAAGCTCTCCAAACAGGGAAGTATATCAGAAACATGTATGGAGCTTGTTCAGAAATCCAAGTGAGGACTACCGTGGTCCTCTGAGTCTGAATCCTCCTGTGTTTCCACAAGCTTCCTTCACCATCTGGGTATGCAACTAAGTTCAAACTTTCCATTTGAAGAAAAGAAAGCCAGACTTTTGTGAGGAGAGATGAAAGGACAGGAAAAGACATATTTCCTTTTAAGGGGTTCCTCGTAAGGGCCAGGAAAGACCGGAGCAGAAAAAGTGGATGAAGCTGTAGTGAGTTTCTTTAGGGGAAAAAGAAAAGGAAACTTATTTCCTGAGTGCCAGTGCACTCTAAGAATTCCTGTCACTTTAGCTAGCATTTATTTGAGGGCTTACTATGTACCAGACGCTGTTCTAAGTGCTTCAGATACATTACAACTGGAAGGGTGCTAGTATCATGATCCCTTGGCAAATGGGAACTTGAACACAGAGCAGATTTGTAACTTGCCCAAGGTCACACAGCTGGGAAGGGGCAGAGCCAGAGTTCAAACCCAGGCAGTCTGGCCTCTGACTCCAGGCTCCTAACCCCTGTTTTCTACTGCCTTCTGCACTTCACATGTGATTCTGTCCATGATTCAAACTGCACAACAATGCTGTGAGTAAAAAGTGTTAGCTGAATATCAGGGAAGTTAAGTAACGTGCACAAAATCACACAGCTAATCAACGTCGGAGGCACTTTCATATGGAGCAGACAAGCCAGAGAGAAGATGTGCTGATGGCAAAAAGAATATATTAAGTGAAATCTATCTTGTAGATTTCATCATTTCTGCTCTGAGTAACCTTGAATACTATAACTTTATGGGACAATTTATAAATATTTTCTATATAAATATAGAAGTAAACTTATCCACACAAGTACTTTCAAAGTGAAGATAAAGTCTGGATGTTACTAGATCAAAAGTGCATTTTTATATTTATAGATGTAGCAAGAGAAGAGACTCAAAGGATGTAAAGCTGCCCATTCAGGTGGTTTTCATCACAGATTGACTGTTCTACTAATTGTTGAAGACTTGGGCCACCAAATTAATAGGATATAGCTTGGCAGTATTCTATGTTATACAGATTTGGTTTATTTAGTAGGCTTTATTAAACTTCCATGTGCCAGTAACTGTGTTAGATGTTTAGATGGCAGATGTGTTTCTAAGCAGAGCTTACAGTTGAGAGTATGGGGCGTGTGGGGAGAAGTAATAGATTCTATATTCCATGACAGTACTTGTAATACATGTTGTATTGCAAGTACAGTCCTACTTTGCCTAACGATGGGGATACATTCTCAGAAATGAGTTATGAGGCAAACTGGTTGTTGTATGAATATCACAGGGAGCACTTACACAAACCGAGATGGCATAGCCACACCTCTGCTATGTGGTATAGTCTATTGCTCCTAGACTACCAACCTGTGCAGCATGTCACTGTATTGAATACTACAGGCAATTGTTACATAACAGTAAGTATTTGTGTACATAAAAATAGAAAAGATGATGCATCACACTACAACCTTATGGTGGCTGGGATGTCACTAGGTGATAGGAATTTTTCAGCTCTGTTCTGATCTTATGGGACCACCATTGCACAGGCAGCACGTGACTAACTGTAATTACAAGATGGTGGCCACATTCAACACAACTGTTTAACCTAGCCATGGAGGCATGGTCCTGTGAGATTTTCCTGCAGAGTTAGTGTCTGGTTCAATTCTGGAAGGGCCAACAAGAGTAATCCAGGCAAAGGGCTGAGAAGAGACCTTCCAAGTAGAGTCAAGATTGTGTGCAAAGGCTCAGTGAGGAGTAGAGTGAATTGTAGAGAGCACAGGGGAGGACGTGTGGGTGAGGAAGGAGAGGTGAAGCCACAGAAGCACGAACGAACCAGACGCTCTTGCAGGCAATGCTAAGGAGACTGATTTTGTCCTTATAGTGGTGGGAAGTCATTGTAAAAATGTTAAGCAGGGAAGTGGCATAAATAATTTACATTTTCAAAAGATCACTCTGGCAGCAGATAGAGTATATATGTAAAGGGGGTAAGAAAGAGGTAAGCTGGAAAGCAAGAAATTCTTGATCCGGGTATGCCCTAAAGCACTGGCAATGGGGAAAAAGAGATGTCAATCAGAAAGATTAAGAAAGAATAATTGAATTGACTTGGAGAACAAATGGAAGTAAGGCATAAGGGACAGGTGGAAATATGAGCTGACTTCCAAGTTTCTGGTTAAAGATACCCTTTACTGAGGGAGGATATATAGAAGCCGTCTTAGGGGGAAGATAAGAAATTTCGTTTAGACCATGTCAATAGGTCATGTCCAGTAGGCACATGAGTTTAGGGGAAGAGTCTGGGCTAGATTCCAGGAAGTCACAGCAAGGACTATCAATAGGGTCAGACAGCAGAGAGTGTACCATGGAAAGGACTGAAAAGTGATCATAACAAATAGAAGCTTACTGATTTTCTAGCAGAAACATCTTCAGCAGAGTAGTGGAGTATAAGCCATATTGTAGGGGATGGAGGAAGACATGGGCTCTGAGAAGTAAAGACAAACAATATATTTTGTAAATAAATTTCTTTTAGTTCTTGGAAAAAGAAAAAAAAAAAAGAATATAGCCTCTTCTCCAGGAAGCTTGACTGGGAAATGAAGAGAGGGATTTGAAAGCTGGAGATTGGAGGATAGGAACAGTACATCAAGATACACTGCGTTGTAGTGTAATGCATTACAAATGTGAGCTGAAAGTGAAGGCATTTGTAATCATACGATATTGCCATTTAAAAAACAGCTATCAATCATATGCTCAGCTCCTGGTCAAGTATGATGAGAAGAATACAATCATGATAGTGATGAAAAAATTGCTGCCAGTTTTGCGGATTTTCTTTGTGCTAGACAGTGTAAGCTCTTTAGCAATATTATTTAACTCACACAACTCTGTGAGGTAGATATTATTATCCCTACTTGACAGATTAGGAAACAGAAATAGAATGGCTGAGAACGTCTATGCTGAGTAAATGTTGCTGAACCATAATTTTATATTTACTTAACTGTAGAAATGAATATTGGGCTTCAAGACTATTTGTATTAAATGATACCTGTCTTGAAAAACATACGCTATTTTTTTCAAAATTTTAAGACAAAAATCACTTTCTTCGCTCCTGTCTTATTTGTATCCCCTTCACATGTCGTAGCCTAACACTAGTTGATAGCCTATATTGGTGCAGCTTGTCCCCCTTCTTCTAAGGCCACCAAGTCCTGTAATTAGCATTATCATTCATGGGAGAAAGATCAAGCCTCACTCGTGACTGTGCCTCCTTGCAGTCAGGTAATACTGAAAAAGAAAGCTAAATATATGAAAGAACCAAGCTGAACACAGGAAAGAATCAGGCCACCAGAAAATAGGCATTGTGTTTTCTTGTTCCTTGAAAGTCTTCATTTCTAAAAAATTTCAGACACCTGAAGTTTTCTTGCCTTACTCTGAGTTGGTACACTTTTAGTACATGATCAACACATGAACAGGCATTCCAGAAGTAGAAAAGCTGTAAGAATACAAAAATATGACCAGGTATAGTGGCTCATGCCTGTAATCCCAGTATTTTGGGAGGCCAAGGCAGGCGGATCGCCTGAGGTCAGAGTTCAAGACCAACCTGGCCAATATAGTGAAACCCTGTCTCTACTGAAAATACAAAAATTTGCCGGGTGTGGTGGCACTTGCCTATAATCCCAGCTACTTGGGAGGCTGAGGCAGAAGAATTGCTTGAACCCAGGAGGCAGAGGTTGCAGTGAGCCGAGATCACACCACTGCACTCCATGCTAGATAACAGAGCAAGACTTCATCTCAAAAAAATAAAATAAAATAAAAACAGAGTACAAAAACTTGAACCACTGAAAATCAAAAAGACATGCATGCGCATTCTAAATCTTTAATTTTTTTCTTCTTACTAAATATATTTTTTTCTCTCTGAATAGCAACACCTAGTTTAGGAAGCAAGATCTTAGCTGGTCTAGCGACTGGAGGAGTGGCAGTATTCATTGGGCAACCGACAGAGGTCGTTAAAGTCAGACTTCAAGCACAGAGCCATCTCCACGGTATCAAACCTCGCTACACGGGGACTTACAACGCCTACAGAATAATAGCAACAACCGAAGGTTTGACAGGTCTTTGGAAAGGTAACTAACTTCAATGTGAATTTTGTAACCACCAAAGCTCATACCTACAATTAGCAACTTATCATAGAGTTAGTAAACATTTTTTTTTCCCCCAGGGACTACTCCTAATCTGACAAGAAGTGTCATCATCAATTGTACAGAGCTAGTAACATATGATCTAATGAAGGAGGCCTTTGTGAAAAATCACATATTAGCAGGTAACTTCCCATTTCATATAACAAACTGGTCTGCACCTTTAAAATTTCATCTTGGAGCTTCTGTTGACACCTTATACCCAAACTCTTAACTTTAATAATTTTCTCTTTTTAAAAATTAAGTAATTTTGAATGATGTATAACTTTGTGAGAAACAGAAAAAGACCAAAATCTTAAGTTTAAGAAGTTTTACTACAACAAAAATATTTTGCAACAGAAACAATAGGCAATTTCATCTTATGTCAGCATTATTCTCATTTAATAATAATATGTGGGACTTTTATTAGAATCTTATTCTTTATACAGCAGAATTCAGGAGGGGTAAGTCCACCCTGCACTATATCCAAATGATCTAGTTATACAAGGAGTTTATCAGTGGTTTCATCCAAAAGGTAGTACCTTAGGATAGGTTCTTAAAAATAATATTCTAACAGCTTCTAGAGACATTAATTTCCCTTGGACAATGACTTATTTCAATAAAAAAGTATTAGATGCTCATATATTAGGCATTATTGCAGGCCCTGAGGGCACAGAGGAAACTAACAGGTTATTTTCCTAAAGTGTTAACCATCTATTCAGCCATTTATTCTCTACCATCTTTTTCTAATGCAATAGTTTTCTCATGCTGTTTTATTTATTTATGAGACATCTTCACTGACCTGCTGTTATCAACAGGTTAATAAAGATCTGATCTGACAAATAACTAAACTACAAGCCCCTAAAAGTCTGACGTTGACCTGTTTCATTGATCCGTTTTAGATGACGTCTCCTGCCACTTGGTGTCAGCTCTGATAGCTGGATTTTGCGCAACAGCTATGTCCTCCCCAGTGGATGTGGTCAAAACCAGATTTATTAATTCTCCGCCAGGGCAGTACAAAAGTGTGCCCAACTGTGCAATGAAAATGTTCACTAAGGAAGGACCAACGGCTTTTTTCAAGGGGTAAGATAGGATCTTCTGTATCTATAATATGTTCTGGCTATGTGTGTGCTTTGGGAAATTCTATAGTCAAACAACTGACATTTAGCTTACAAGCCTTAGTATATTCATATACTTAGTATTGATTTTTCCTTGCCACAGATTTCTCCAATCCAATTCCACTGTGCCAAAAAGTAAAAAGCCATGATATTAAAATTTTCTGTACTTTGATCAAAGTCTCATTCAAGACCAGTGCCTTTTCCATTGGTCCCAATCTAGTGGAAATGTAGACAGTATTTTGCCTTCTCTGGTCAAGGGAACTATAAAGTAGAGGGAAATCATAATAGAGAGCTATAAAAGAACAAGATTTGATTTCATTTGATGGACTCACATTTTTAAATTGTAAAATTAGAGAAAAGTCATCACCACAGTCTAGAAAAGTGATGCAGATAATTATGTGGTTTGGGTAATTATTACACTCATCTAGAAACAATTGTTGTGTAATAGATTACATATTTCCATAATGAAATGTTGTGTTGGAAACTACCTTCCTAAGAAAATGTAAGAAAATACAGTAAGGGCTCTGCGCAGTGGCTCACACCTGTAATCCCAGCACTTTGGGAGATAGAGGCAGGAGGATCACTTGAGCCCAGGTGTTCAAGACCAGACTGGGCAACAAAGCAAGACTCTATCTCAACAAAAAATGAAAAAATTAGCTGACTATGGTGGCACGCACCGATAGTACCCCCTACTTGGGAGGCTGAGGCAAGAGGATCTCCTGAGCCCAGGAGTTCAAGGTTGCAATGAGCTATGATCATGCCATTGCACTCCAGCCTGGGTGACAGAGCAAGGCCCTGACTCAAAAAAAGAAGGAAAAGGAGAAGAAAATACAGTATTAAGTAATTTGTCAATATATCCCATAAGGATTACACTAGTGATTAAATAATAAAATTCTATTCTTTTTTAAACTGTAAGTCCATCCCTCAAGTTTTATAAATTAAGCATGAATGTATCATACACATTTTATAAAAAGTTCCACATCATCATAATCTGTACTTATAATACACTAATACAAATGAAGTCATTATAAAATTAACAAAATGGATACACCAGGTATTAAACCATTAACCACTTAATAATTTTATTTTTTTCAAATTTAAAAACCTTTTGGGGGAGAAATACTACAACATGAAACCTTGAAAACATTATGCTAAGTGAAATAAACCATACACAAAAGGACATATACTGTATGGTTACACTTAAATGAGGACCTAGAGTAGTCAAATTCATAAAGACAGAATAGAAGTTACCAGAGGCTGGAGGTTGGAACAAATGGGGAGCTGTTTAATGAGTAGTTTCTTTTTGGGGTGACAAAAAGGTTCAGGAGATGGATAGTGGTGATGGTTATACACAATGTGTATGTATTTAATGCTACTGAAATGGAATTTTATGTTATTAATTTTTTGGCAATTAGAAAACCCACATTGAGAAGTCGAGAAACATGTTAAAAGACTTGACGGAAAAAGAAATGGGTGGAGGAGTGTTTTTTATAGGTTAAACAATAAAAACCATTTAAACATTTAACAATTTCCCTAAGGACAAGAATTGTCAAGATTGAGACAGCACAGATTTCTTGACTCTGGAATTCGATTCACCTACTCAATACTTCTTTGGTTTCTCTTCTTCCTTCCCCCTTCTAACAGTTTCCTACCTCCCATTCAGAAAGCAAAGCAAAACAAGCAAAAATTTCCTCTTCCCTTAAAATAGGGAAGAGTTTTTGAAAAATCTCATGTCAGAGAACGGAAGAGATGCTTTGGGAGTGAAGGATATTTGTGGATTTGTATAGATGTGATCATCAGGGCTGTGTTGTTTTGAAGTACTATAGGACATCTAGAGGAAACTATTTTCAGCAGAGGAGGGAAAGACGAAGAATAGCTACTTTCATTCATCTTCACCTGAGGAGTGGCAAACAACCTTCTTGTACTATAATAGCTTTAAGATTTTCAGGCTGAGTGTGGTGGGCTCTAGTCCCAGTTACTCCAGGAGGCTGAGGTGGGAGGATCACTTAAGCCTGGGAGCTCAAGGTTGCAGTGAGCTATGATCATGCCACTGCACTCCAGCCTTAGTGACGGGGTGAGGCTTCATCTCGAAAAATAAAATAAAAGAATCTCAAACAAACTAGTAGAATGATGACATGCGCTTTTCTAGGTTGGTACCTTCCTTCTTGCGACTCGGATCCTGGAACGTCATTATGTTTGTGTGCTTTGAAAAACTGAAACGAGAATTGTCAAAGTCAAGGCAGACTGTGGACTGTACCACATAATCAGCTTCAAGAAAATGTTGTAACATACCAGTGGGAATCTTGCTAACTGAATCATTTAAACGAACAAAACTTATTCACTTATTTTAACCTAAAAAGATAAAGGAATTTTGGTACAGAGTTTTGGACTTTATACAAAAAAAGAAAACTAATGCCTATTTCATATTACTTTTATTCTCAGTGTCTTAAGAAAGGGCAAGTAAAACATTCAGTGTATATCCTGGCAAATGTAATGCAGATAAGCTATTGCATTTGACCATTTTTGGAGTGCAATTGTGTGACTGAATGTGAAAAACTTTAACACGTTTTAATTACAATTCCAACTGGTGTAAAAGAAACAGTGAAATGCAGTTTATATTTATAAATACTTAAAAATGAAGTTATTAAAAAGATTAGTTTTTTATTTATTAACCACAGTTGTCAATATATTCAATAAAATATTGCTAATACCTTTTAAAGTCTGTCTTTTGAAATCTACACCTGGGTGTAAGAATGGAAGTTCACCTAGAATACAATATTGCCCAATAGCAAGTGCAGGTCTTTAGACTCATAGGTACGAACCTACTCTGAACCTTATTAGTATAGATTTTAATGTTTAGAGTCCATATTTGATGACATCTTTAACAACTTCTAAGACATTACACTACATTCATTTTGGCAGGATTGTTACTAGTGTCCTGGTATCTGTGCTAGCATCACATAATTTTAGAGCTGTAGGGGACTTCAGAGAAGACAGAGGAACAGTTTGAGGTTTCTGCTGAGATGAAAATGAATCTTCATGGAATCTTTTAGCAAAGCCAAATTCAAATCCATCATTAGCAACTGTAGTAACCTTTTTAATGCCTACAAACTGCAGGCAGAGGAGAGGGAAACAGTAAACCAGATATTAAAAGAAGTTTAAGACAAAGTCCAGCCTGATTTTAAGCCAATTGGACGACCAGGAAGGCTACAGGCTGCCGGGCACCATTCTAGTTCTGTTTTAATCAACTCCACATTACATTTACTACTGGGGATTCTCACCTTGCCTTCATGCGTTATCTTCCCCATTTATTACCTGCAAAAGTTTCTTGTAGTACACGTCTTCAGTGACCCACACATGCCATTTTGCTCTTTAGTACTTGCTGGCCTGACTTTCTATTGTCATGTCAGCATGTACCCTTTTTAGGGTCTTCTGGCCACCAGAGCCAGCTTTGCTCACCTGTGCATGGCATTCTAGAAGAGCAGGGAAAACAATACAACCCTAGTGCAGCCCTTAGCCAATAACTGGTAATAGTATATAAATATTTCAGTTCCCTCAACCCTCAGGTGGAATAACCGCTGAGAGATCAAACTATAGTAACACAGTAGTATTTTGCTTACTACTGTTAACTAAAAAATCACAGGGTCTTCATACATTTGAAAATACTTTATTTCTTACAAAGGGTTATAGCCTATAAGGTGGTCATTCTGCAGGCTAGGAAGCGTATCCTCCAGCAAAGACCAGAGGCAGGCACTTCTAGGAAAGGAAGAGTAAGACAGGAATTTAAGTTGAATGGTTTGGGCAAGTATATTCAATAGGCTACAAGTAGATCCATGAATATTCATGAAGGTAGTCCTGATGCATGCATATTAAGCGAACATGCATGTTATACCTTGGAGTGAAGATTTAGCATTTAAATGTATTACAGTTACATTCAAAAAGCGAAGCAGGGACACCAAGGCACACAACGCACCATCTCTGTAAACAGGCCAGAGCCAGTCCGTGGTGCTTGGTCTCTTATTAGGAGAAAGCTACTAAAATCCTTCTCTTGTCCAGTTAAAAAGCTGTAGTTATGGCCGGCGGAAAGTGGGCTGGAGTCAGTCAGCACTCGGTGAAGCTGCAATTGCTACGGATGCTCAAGGCCACTGTTTAGCTGCTCGAGAAAAAGAAAAATCTTGTGGCAGTTAGAAAACAGTTTATTCTTTAAGTGTAGGAGTGAGTGACTTAATCCTGCCTGGCATGGCCTTAAGTCCTATTGTAATTTGGCATCTTATAGCTCACAAGTGATATGAATGCGTATACAGAAAATCCAAAAGAATTGGCATACATAATAAGAGTTTAGCAAAGTGGCTAATAAAATCAATATTTAAAAGTCTATATATCTGTATTTCTATATACCAGCAAAAGGAAGTTAGAACATAAAGCTGTAAAAATGCATAACAGCATTTAAAAATAGTACCTGGGAATAAATGTAACAAAAGATGTGTCATATCATATGGAGAAGACTAAAATGCTACAAAGAATATTGCCACAAAGAGTCTGTTCCCTCAGTCTGTGATCTCTATTTTAACATTCATCCTGGTCAGTTGTGTCTAAACCATCCAAGGGTGAGGGTATATAACAAGGCGTGTCTGACCTTTCATTCTATCATGGCTGGGAACTCAGTTTTGAGGGTTTCTCTGGGACCCCCTTAGCCAAGGGAAAGCTTCCCAGTGGGAAGCTTTAGGATTTTATTTTTAGTTTAGAGTATTTGTGGGCTGACTTCTATTCCCTAACTCAGTTCCCTACTTCTTTACTGGTGTTTCCTGGCATCGCCTCCCAAATGAATTGCAGATCCTTTCCTCAAGATCTGATTCACAAGGAATTCAAACTAGGACAAACCGCAACCTTAAAGTAAGTAGTATGTTTCTTTCAAGAATAAGGGAGAAAACATATAACTTTATTTCTTTGACCCTGGTCAGGCAATGGGCAGTTGCAAATGGAGGGAAGAAAGTTGGCCAATTCCTGGTATAGAGAAACATCAGTCATCAGAAGATATTTGAGGATCTACTATGCACTAGATACTGTATACTATTCAGTGGTACATAAAACAAGCGTAGGCCCTGCCCCCATACAGAGGGAAATATAAGGGAATCCATCTGGTATCAGAAGATACCTGGGGATTTGCCACGTGTTCTGATAACAGCCTCGGTGATCTCATCTAATAGGGAACACAACTGTGAAAAAAGCCCCTATAGGCCTGAGAATCACCACAAAGTTTTTCTTTTTCAATGCAAAGCAAATGGTAATAATTAGTCTGTTCCTTGTTAACAAAGCAAGCCATTATTTGAAACAAGATATAAAGTCTACAAATCATTCTTGCTTTTGTCTTCATTTGTTAAAATGGGAACATTTTCATTGTGGAATATAACATATATACATAAAAGTGCATAAAGCAAATGAATATTTTGATGTATTATTACAAAGGGAACAGGTAACACAAGTGAAGCTTAAGAAACATAAAATTGCAAGTACCACAGAACCACCTCCACTCACTGGATCACGATTTGAGACCACCTGAACTTCGTTTTCATGGTAAATGGTTTTCCGTGTGTTTTTACATGGATTCACTATTTAAGTATACATCCCTAAATTATAAGGCTCGTTTGTCTATTTTTTAATTTCATATAAATGGAATTATTCAATATGTTTTATGTGTGCATCTTTTGACCAATATTATGAATTCACACAACAGTAGGCTAGCTAGGCAGCTCTGCTAATCTTAGCTGAATTCAGTTGGCCTTTAAATTCAGGCCAAGGGTTTATGAGCAGTTCTGATCAACTCTACGTGACTGATTCATCTGGTACCCATGGACAACCCGAGGCATGCTCTTTTACATGGTGACAGCAGAGGTACAAGAATAAGCCCAACTGTTCAAACCTATTTCAAGGCTTTATGTCCACTAACATTGCATCGATTGTGGCAAGTCACATTGTCATGCCTAACATCAAGGAAGCAAGGAAATGCACTCCTTATTGGGAAATGGAGAGGACTGAATATTTGCTGAATAATTCCAAACTGGCACAGCACATCTGCTCAACATGGTGCTAGAAGTCCTAGCTAGTGCAGTAAGACAAATAAATGGATGGAAAGAAATAAGTTACAGCTCATGAGTGATACGAATGTGTGCACAGAAAATCCAAAAGAACTGGCATACATGAGTTCAGCAAAGTGGCTAATAAAATAAATATTAAAAAGTCTATGTATTTCTATATACCAGCAAAAGTTAGAAAATAAAGCTGTAAATATGTATTATACAAAAGCATTTAGCCCAGGCATGGTGGCTCATACCTGTAATCTCAGCACTTTGGGGGGCCAAGGTAGGCAGATCACCTGAGGTCGGGAGTTCGGGACCAGCCTGACCAACATGGTGAAATCCCGTCTCTACTAAAAATACAAAAAACTTAGCTGCTCATGGTGGCGGGCACCTGGTAATCCCAGCTACTCAGGCAGCTGAGGCAGGAGAATTGCTGCAGTGAGCTGAGATGGCACCATTGCACTCTAGATTGGATGACAGAGTGAGACTCCGTCTCAAAAAAAAAAGCATCTTAAAATAGTACCTGGGAATAAACATAAGATGTGTAATATACTATGAAGACTACAATGCTATTGAAATATGTTTTTTAAAACTATATAGGTATATAACACACTCTTGGACTAGAAGAAAACTGTTTTCACATTTATCTTACAGATTTAATGCAATCTATACAGTCAAAACATTTATTTTTCTCATTCATGGCCTGTCTCTCTAGAGGGGAATGATTTGCATCAAACTGCTTCACAGGTCTCCAGAATCTTTCCAAATTTGATTCCATATGTTTTACTGTTAAGTATATTTGTTGTAGTTTATTTATAAGGAAACATTTTATAAAAGTAATCGCTATTTCTCATTTATTATTTTTTAAACATAAATGAATTTTTATCAAATGTTTTTCCTGCATCTAAGAACATCATATGATTTTCAAATGTTAATATGAAAAATTACATTTTATTCTGGTCAACTGACCTGAGCCATAATTGATCACATATTAATGCAATATATCTATATATGCAAGTCATTAATAAATTTATTAAGCTTCTGGATTCCATATGCTAATATTTTGTTTATAATTATTGTATCTAAAGTGACATTGGCATACAATTATTTTTCATACTGTTCTTGAGTTTTAGTCATCCAGGTTATGATAGTTTCATGAACTGCGGAGTCTATACTCTATCATTTGCTAGAGTTTGTGAAAAGTGATTTTACTCTTACATGTAATTCAACTCACTGATGCAAGGCATATAGAATTGCAGAGTTTTTACAAAAAGGGTTTTAGTTGCTAATTCAGTTTAATAGCT